CGCATGCGCGCGTATAGCTTTAATGTTTTGTTTTGGTGACAACATAGCCGATGTAAGTCATGTGATTGCGATCCACCCAATCACACGCGCGTATATCGAATCCCGTGAAACCGAGTTGGCCAAACTCTCTATCTACGGCTCTGCTGTCGGGCAGATCATGGCGCCATCACTGGGTGTAGTAGGCTTACGTGTATTTGACGTAGCGCGCCTACTACCCGTTGTACACATACCGTACTACACGGGGTATTAGTTTCACATAGTTGTTCCATGAGTGGTACAACTGTGTCAAAATACCACGCACAGTACGCGTAGTACGTGATCTGGTATTTCTATTGTTGACTACGTTTAGGCCTGAGAGATATGCCAGGCGTATCTAACGCCGGGCATACGTTAATCCATGGCATAACTAGCGAGATGTCCAGACTGGACGATTAACGTAACGCTAGCGTAAGTATTCGAGCGAAATTTTCGTATTCGTAATCACGGATTTCATTTCCTGTTTACATCTAGGCTTCTAACGGCTATGTTCAGACACAACGAGTTACGCTAGCGTAACGTTAATCAAGAGGCGTGAACTTGTGTGCAGCGTAGAGAACGCCAGTGTATTAACGGGCAATCACTGGCTCCAGCATACCCAAGATTAGCGTACGTCACTGAGTTACGACATGCATCAATGATTTCAACTCGGCCAGGACTTGATCCGGGCTTAATGTGAACGTAGCTTTAGCCTAGATGTTTACGCAGCAGCAGGAGACGCTTATAATATCTTTACGTGTGGTACGCGTAGGCCTAGTACATGTAGTACGAGTGGTATTTTGATACCGTTGTATCGAGTCCGCAATCCAGTGGCGTAGAAAAATATTTTTCATTGGGGGGATGATTGGCGTGTTAGCCAGTGTCGTAACATGCGCGGTGGGTGGGGTAGGGGGAAAACTGCCCCTCCCCTGACGGTTTTTACCGGGCCGACCAAGTCGTCGTACCGGGCTGGGTAATAAGAGAAAAGAAAGAGGGGAGAGGGAGGGAAAGAGAAAGAAGCGGAAAAGAAAAGGAAAGAAAAAGAGAAGATAAAATAAAGACAAGAATAAAAAGGAAGATATCATAATGACCAGACTCACAACACCCATGCAACCCCTTCTCCACTTCAAAAACTCTCATAACTCCTTTGATCTATGCTGCCCGATGGCGTAACCACTGGGGGACAAGGAGAAAATATCTATCTTTGAAAAATCTTCCCCACCTCCCCCCCCCCCCTTTATAAATGCGCTTTCATCCCTTGAAAGTGCCTAAAAACCTCAAATTTCGCGCGCATTTCTTGTTAACATGGCCCAATTTCCTCTAAAAATTGCACATTTTAGGGAGTTTTGATCAATTCCAACATTTTTCGCGCGCTCGAAATTAGAATTAAAAACACCGGGGGACAAGGGGAAAATATCCATCTTTGGAAATCTTTCTCCACTCCTTGACAAATGCATCCTCAGAAAGTGCCTAAAATTCTCTAATTCTTTGCGCGCATTTCTTTTTATATCGGTAGGACAATTTCCTCTATAAATTGCACATTTTAGATAGTTTTCATCAATTCCGACGAAATTAGAATTAAAAACACAAAAATATTTTATTTTTTAGAGATTTTTTTAGTTTTATCCTTTTAAGTTATTTAAACACATAATAGTCCCAAACTCAAGAAAGACAAATTTAAGATAGATCATTTTAACCTAAAAGAAGGGCCTCAATGTGTATAGATAGTGAGAGAATGTGTTTGTAATAAATACAACCATGATGAAAATGCTTATATTTATGCTTATAGGCCACACGTGTGTGGCCTATATTATAAATAAGATAAGCCCTATGTCGTATTGTTTTCTATATGGGGAGTGGGGTGGGGTGGGGTGGGTATGATAAATTACTAACCGGGAAATTATGAAAATATTATTATTATTATTAATATTATTAATGTTGTGATGATGCTGTTTGTACTGTTCTTTAGTTTTATTAAAGAGGGCCCCTTAATGTCAGTTAACCTACTGGGCTAAACTAGAAGGGTTACCCTCTTTAAAGATGGTTGAAATAAAAAAAAATATACCCACTCTGACCCAAGACCCCTGTTACGCGCCTGGTGTTAGCGCCAATGTGTGCCCTTGTGCGGACAGGAGATGTGCCCCCCTCTGAAGCTGAAAACCTTGTTTTTGCAAAATAAATTGATGCAATTTGCTGTTATAGGCCTAATCAATAAATTCCTCTTCAACCGATATAACCTTAAACATTCTTGGAATTGATATAACATTACTGATGTCGTACACACCCTTCAGTGTGAAATGTGGCTCTCTTTGCAAGCAAATCTAACATCTAAGGAAAGAAGAGCTTAGATGGGTACCAGATAATAATTTTGTTATCAACATTAATATATTATGCTAATTTTCATCTTTGTAAGCGCATAAGACAGTGCAAATTATTTCTGTGACAGTCTTTTGAAGTGTGTAAAGCTCCATTTTATCCCATACATAGTCAAAATATTGGGGG